TCATAGTCTGCGCCGGTGTGGTGGCACTCGTTTCTGCAGCAGCAATGATCTGGCAGTTGTGGCTATGCTGCAAGGTACGGAAGGCATCAGCCTTGTTTGTCAACGCAGTTGGGTTGCACAGCGCGACTTGTAACATCTCCGGGCCAGGATTGCGGGCCTCTCCATATCGAATTCCATGGCCCAAAGCACGCCGGAACAGTAACACAAAACATGCAACCACCAACGCAAGGATTGTAGGGAAGGACCCACAGGCGTGTGTCAGTGAATTCTTGTTCACCCTGCCCCATCACTCCAAAGACTCCTTGGCTTTTTTACGGCCAAGATTCTCTTGAAACATCTCCTGCAAGGCTGCCAAGGTGCCATGAATCGCCTGATTCTCGCTTCTCATGGTTTTCACCAGTGAGGCCTCCAGAGCCTGGGCAGACTGAAGTACCTGCTGAGCAACCTCCTTCTGGTGTTCCTCGAAGCGGAGACCAATAGAGTATGCGGTTTTGGGTATCATGTGCTTGTTGCCGAAGGCTGGCATCCAGCTGGGCAATCTGCTTCTGGGTTTCCGTTTGGAAGGAGCCGTTGGAGGCCTCCATTGAGGCAAGGCGAACCTCCATGGCATGCAGCTTACCCTCCTGCTCTTGGAACTTGGTCTCAGTAGGGCCAACAACACGTGGAGCAGGAGTGGGACCAATGGAACGGCCCTGTGTGGCCAAGTACTGAGCCCACGGATCAGCAGCATTGTTTGAAACTGCGTGATGAGTCTGAGTGGTAGAACTCAAGGTGACGGAACCCGCAATGATGGGTGACTTCTGGTAGTCCTTCTTGGGAGGCAGCAGCTGAGCCAAAATGGGAGCTGAGTTGTACAGCAAGATGCCCGAGGGGATAGGTTCACTGCTCGCAATCAGCCAAGCGCGCATTTGTAGGTCATAGCCCATTGGCTCAACATGTCCTTGGAGGTGCCAAATGGTAGGGGCTGAAGCTTGATCAATGCAGCCCCGTGGAGATCTGGAGGCATCTCTTTGGCCGGATGAATGACCTTCCAAGCTGCTGCAAAGTCCTCGTGCTTGAAGCGGAGGCCCATGCCATCACGCCCTTCCACCAACCCCAAGCAGCCTGAAGTCGTCTTCGAAAGGGAGGTCAAGCGAGTCGCTCCGAGGAAGGTCACCCTCAGTCCAAATGATCCTGAATTGGGAGTCTTGGCGACCATCTGAGCTCTTGGGTGTACAGAAGATGCGGTTGAAACCACTAACCTGCAGGTCAGGCTGAACACTTCCATGCAGCTGAACCGAAGTAGCCTGTGCCGCTGAAACTGCTTTGTTATTGTTGCGAAGAGACCTCCCCCATGTGGATAAGATCAGCCAGCTGCAGCAAATGAAGACGTCACGAATCGCGTAGTGGAGTCGAGGATTCCAGTCCAGTCATCAAGATCCCAATCTGTTTTCCACAGAGTAAAGGCAACGCTTCTGCAGGCTGGGTCTTTGAGGCGATGTGCCCCCTCCACGCATTTGAGCTGTCGCTCCCCGAACTGCACCAAAATACCTGCGAGGATGATGGATGGTGCATCAGGTAGTTCACAGGGAATGGTGATGGCCTGGCGCTTCAATGTGGCCTCAAGAGGTTGAGAAGTGACCACAATGATACCCAGCTCATCCCTGGACAACACTGCATTTTCACGAAGCCACGGAAGTGCTGGATCCAAATGAGCCAAAAAGACTCCTGAGGATTGCGGCAGGAATGAGGACAATTGAGTGGCATTGGAGTCATCTTCATTGCGGATGTAACCAGCCATGATGGTCAAGTTGGACAGATTCACATGTGGCGGTTTCTTCTTTTGGAGCTGCAATTGCCGGGTAGAGCTCTGACTGTCCAATGCGCCTGATCGCTTGCGAGGCAACTCCAAACCAATCTTCTGGAGCGCAATGAGCAAGATGGTGGATCGTGATTCGTTCCTGCCATTCAACATCGCAGCGATGGCCGCATGGCCCAAACTGTTGAAGAGGCTTCAACAGCCTTGGAGACCCAATCCAACTCATACTGTAGCTCCAACAGTAGGCTGGCCACCTGATTGCGTAGTGCCACCTGCTGGGGATTCTTTCCACCTCCTCCGCCCTGGATGCGGGTGACATGGTGCAAGACAAATGCGCCCGCCCTATTCTCCCAAGTTTCCAGAAGTCCCAAGGCATGTTCAGGGAGAAGGCGAGAGGCTGAAGCTCCATGAATGAGGCGGATCTCCTCGCTATGGATGACAGGACTGGATCACATCAATGAGTTGGCCAGCCAGCAGATCTTCACGCACATGTCCCTCCCATAGGACTCTTTTGCACCACTTCAAAGAAATATAGATGCCAGCTGGGACCCGCAGACAGTCCATCGTACTTCGAAAGGTGCGCACCGCCCACCATGGCAGAAAGTGTTCAGGCGGGATGGGAGTCGGTTTGCCAATAGTCGTCTTGACCTGAAAGTCAATCTCTGTTGTCTGGTGGTCCACTGTCAAATGGAAGCTACCCCTGCCCTGCTGAGTCAGCGCCGAAGCCCAAAGAGCAGACCAAAGAGTGCACTCGGCTGCAGTGCCATGACCTTTTGTGGTTCCAATAGTGGTAGCAATGGACCCCCTTGGCCGCGCGGTAGATATCATCCGCGGCAAAGCTGCATGCAGCGTGTCCCAACTCAAATTTCGTGAGAACCATTTCCGGCAGGATGTGGGTTCGTAATGGAGTGAGGCCAAATTGATCAAACCATAGCTCTTCCTGTTCATCACCATCCAAAAGAGACTGAACCAGTTCACCCTTGGTAGTGTACCGTAGATCATACATGTCAGCCTTGAGGACAGGAACACATAGACCCTTGTCATCTGTCTGCCAAGTTGCAGGGGCTGTATCCTTCAGGAAGAATCTGTCTTGATCATCAATCTGCCATCCATCAGTCTCGTGCTGAAGCCTTCCACAAAGATGTGACAGCCTCAATGGGCGTGGTCTGCTCCACTTGCAACCCTTTGGCTCCTGTAGTGAACATGATGCGGCATCTTGCCAACAGTCTGAAAGGCTGTGTGGCCTCAATCTCCGTCGGTTGGGTGGCCGCTGTAGTGTGCCGAGTCATCGGACGGAGACACTGTGGTGGGAGGAGCTGTCCATTCAGGGCCATATAGTCCTTGAGCAGGATGTTACCAAGTTCTGGAGTCCAGCAGATTCCCATAGGGAGATGGGTAAGTTGAGCAATGATGTCCTCTCCAACCCTGAAGGGAGTGCGCCTCTGCATCCACATGGTACCCCAAGGCATTGACAGGGACTGCATCTTAAAGAAAGACCAAGCATCAACCCAGCGAAGCTGTGGATCTCTTTCACGCAACATATTGAGCCCCTGGAGAAGCAGCCACAAAGCATGGGGAATGGCGATCTGATTGCCCATGCCCTTCCAGGCCAGAATCCTCCCCAGGCTCCATGGAGAAGTGCCACCTCAGCGGGGTGCCAAAAAACGAAGGTCTGCTTGCTCATTCTCCTGCAACCAATGGGCGAAGTAGCCCCGAGTTTCCAGCAGTTGACCATGAAGGTGGTGCGACTTCCATATTGAGCCATGAAAGTCGGGAGACTGGAATCATGCGGCTGAAACATGTGTGAGCGAGCAGCCTCATCAGCCGTGCAGCGCTTCTGCTGCTTGGAGCCACGTTCCAAAGGAAAGGAGCGAGCCTGTGCCAAAGCTTCTTCAGGCACTTTGAGTCGCCGCAGAATGTCAGGTGACCATGAAAGGATACAATCACGATCCTCCAAGCCGGAGGCCATTTGTGTACCATATAGGCCACACCCAACCACCTGGATCTCTTTGGAGCCATGAGATCTCCCAGTTCCAAGTCATGTGAAAACCTGAGATGATAGCCAGCAAACCAAAGAGCACGCTGAATCCATTGACGATGCGGGTGTGCATGGAAGCCAGCAACCTGCTCGATCAAGATGATCTTGGGACGTAGGATCTTACACAAGGCAATACTCCTCATCAACAACTGGCCATCACTGCTATGCAAACCCTGTTGCATTGCAGCCCCACTCCAAGGTGGGCAGGGTGATGATATCGTCACAATTTCTGGTGCCCAGAATGCAACAGCTTCATACCAAGAAGGGTCCATGATATCGGCGCATAAGCACCACCCAGACGGAAAGGAGGCCAATGCCAGCGCGGGTAACACATCATCATCTCCAGCAGTAAGTAGAGGGCAACGATGTGTCAAGCTGTTGCTGCGGGCTGAATCAAAGTCAATCTCGATCGCTGCTGAGGTCACTTCGTGTCCCAGCTCCGAGAGAATCTGCCCTGCAAACGACCAGCCTCCCCAGGCTCCAAACAGGTGCAAAGCTGTGATCGGACCACTTGTCCTCTTGTGTAGTGGCGAGATACAAGTCCTTTTATCGATGGCCAAATCAGCACTGGCATTTGCAGGAGGGTATAGCAATGATGCATCCCAAATCAAAACTTTCCCAACAAAGCCTTGCAAACACAGATTGTGCAGCGTAGCTCGTTCTGTGTCCTGCCATTACCGAATCCAGATGCACCTGAGCCAGGCTTCGTCCTGCCGCCACCAAATCTGAGGCTTCAAATCCAAAAAGATCACCAGGGTGCTTCAGACAGAAGTCCTTCACCAGCACATTCGGACGATCGCTCAGGGTGCAGTGTGCATCTCCCCACAACTCAAAGTCACTCAAGATCGAATGCACACCATCTTCCAGCGCTCGATCATGAGTGACTTCCATGGCGTCAGACAAATGGCAGGGCCCAGTCAGCACCCCTTCCGGGGAGGGGCCCCACCACCGCCGCGTGGAGGCCTGGGCCTGGATGACTACTAGCAATGGCCTCCAACCTGCTAGCGATCGCCTCCAACCTACTAGCGAGGGCCTCCAACCTGAGAGCGGTGGCCTCCAACCTACTAGCGGTGGCCTCCAACCTAAGAGCGATCGCCCCCAACCTAAGAGCAATGGAACCTCATAGCATTGGGTTCCTTGCAGTACCTCGTAGATGTTATGGAGGAGACCTACCCAGAGACGAGACGTGCAGCAGCAAGGGGTCTTTGCGCGCTTAACAAGCGCGCCCCACAGCCAGAGTTGTGGGAGGCAGGGTAGGGTCTCAACTGCAGCTTGACTGGCACTGTCTGTGTGAGATTTGTCTTTACAATGGCGATGTTTGTAGCGTTTGTTTTGCGACCCCAGAGAATCGTGCTGGTTGAGTTGTACTGCGTTTGACAGAACTTTAGCAGTACATACATGTACATACTTGTTAACGAGTCCCTATTTTTATCTATTTGTTAGTTAAGTGGCCCTAGTTTGCACGCGACAGAGGCGCTTGAACTTGAGCCATAGTATGACTCCCGACTAGCCTGCACTCAGTGGTTTTAGGCGTTGAGTTGAGGGTTCATGGGAGCAACAAAGTGCATTCGTGTCTGCCCACCTCCATCTCCGACAGTGCCTGCAGGCGCCCATGGTTGCAGCCGTTTTGGGGGCATTGCCTTCCGATGCCAGCGCGTTGGACTTCTTGGTTTCTGTGACCACCTCAGAAATTCAGAATGAAGATGAATGAAGTGGGTCTTGACATTGCCCGGTGAACCAGAGACGTACGGCAAAGACTCCACAATGTGGTTGCAGGTGCTATAACTAATGTAACAAAACGATAGTGAAACCTAATAGATCCTAATAGCATTATATAATAGCAATGGCATCCACCCTAGTAGAGCGATGGCATAAGTACATGCGAAGAAGTACACAGTAGTTATAGCTGGACACAAATCGTGTTTAGCCATGGTTCGAGTTATAGAGCCTTCACTGCCGTGATGAGGTTCTGCGGCTCACGCCCGGAGACCTTTCGCAGAAACTCCGAGAGGCACCGTCGGGAAATGTAGCTGGTAGGACAAAATTTCCGTGTTGCCATATTTTGGCTGTCAGGATTTGACCACTTGGGGAGGCTGTAAGCTTATGGGAAGTTGTTGAGTTCTATCGGGGAATTGATTGGGAGAGTTTCAATCACAAAGGCGAGACTAAAGAGGAAAGCAGTGACTGCCCGACCTGAAAATGTACAATTCAAGTATTTGAACGCGCCTGCACAGTTGTGCTAAGCTGCCCGCAGGGTGGAACGATGCAATTGTGTGCGTGCATGTGCGTGGGTGCGCGGTGGAACAGGCGCATGCAAGAGGCACTCCAATTGTAGCTGCATCGGCCCGTGAATCTTAGGCATGGATTGCCACAACCCTTTCACACAGACATGAAAGAACTTTACAGCTCACCGTGGACATGGTTCGGACATGTTCGGACAGGTCTCTCACCACCTCCCATTGGCACGAAAGCAGTTCCATTATGATTATATTATGTTCCATTGCTGAGCTGCGTGTTCTTTTTGCCGGCCTTGTCAACACCATGTTCCCTGCAAGTCTCACGTGGGTGGGCCCTCGAAGTTTCTGAATGCCCTGCTCTCAAGCTGTGCCTACTTGTGCCAGCTGGAAGTCTGAAAGTGGCAGATGGATAGAGAGAGAGAGAGAGACCGAGGGACAATCCCTGTGTTTTTTGACATGTTGTCTCAAGTGCTCCATAGTGCTTCACCTTCAAGAATAATTCTCGCAATTTCTTCTCGCGCTATTCTGCTATTTGGAGCATAGCGCCCAGGGGAATTGAATGGAATTGACTAGGACCAAGCTCATATTGACAATATACAGCCATGAACCGGCAAGGCTCCACCCTGCTTTCATACACGGATGGTTCAGCATGTTTGATTGGATGTAACTGCACCCTATCAGGCGGCTTGCGCATTCTTAGAGAACTGTGGCTTGGATGACAGCTTGCAGGGGCAGGCTTCGGAATCGGAAACTGGGGTCAAACAGACTCGATCTGAGCAGTGAGTACAACGACCTTGCCCCACAAACAGGACGGTCCTAGATTCAGGTTGGTGATTCACCCAAATATAAGCATAGAGTATGTTGGTTAGCAAGTCATTGCTGATTAGACCACTCACAGGCCTGATAGGCTCCGCGCCTTTTGTTTGAGCATTTCAGCTGAAGGTTGGTGGTGCGACGGAACCGTCAATTGACTGTGGTGGGTTGCTGAAGTTCACGCGCAGGTGCAGGAAGCTCTCCTCCTTTTGCAGGAGACGCAGGGCAACTTGCCTTCCTTTGGGAGATGTTCAGCATCGGAACCAGGTTTTTTTTGTGGGTTGACGGCCCATAGGAGCAAGAAAGCACTACATGAGGACCATGTTTGAAAGCACTACATCACCTGAGGCGAGAGGGCATGACCCGCGACTCGCAAAAGGACATCTGACATCAGCCTGACTACCATTCAATGGCTGTTGCACAACTCAAGGAGTTCCAACTCTTAAGAATTGAAACATGGATGGTCGCGAGTCACGAGTCATCGTGGTTCTTTTTATGCACCTGTTTAAGACGTCCTGGGTTACCTTAGGTTTCTCCTTCTATATAGAGCTTTCGTGGTCTTGGAGCACAAGACTTTTTTACTTTGTTCGGTTGCACACCTACGTGTGGGTGCTGCGGCTGATACAGTCATGTCCTCTTTCCCTGTTTTGTGGGGAGCGCCGGGCCATCTCTTCTAGTCTCAAGTGGTTACTCCTTCCTCAAGACCTGGCCAAAGACATCATCTTGGCAGCAATCACACTGGTTGTTACTGTATAACCTTTGCTCAATCCTGGTGTCTACCTCCTTCCAAAGATGTGCAGTGTACTTTTTTTTGCGCTAGTAAAGTTGCTGCACGCCCTGCATCCAGTACACCAAGTATGTTCTTTATGACATCCCTGAATGGAATCGAGCATAGGATGAGGGGTCGCACGGCCTTTTGATTTGTCACGGAAGCTGTGCTGCCACGAGCAGCAGAAACTTGCCAGTCTGATGTCCTAGCTTGACTGAAATAGAGTACTGCTCTTGACCAGTTGTGCGGCCTCCGCTATTTTCTTCGAGGGAGATTCATGCATCTCCCGCAAAAGACAACAGGGCATGAGGGTGCTTGATGGGAGGTTAGTTGCTTTTTCCTATTTCAATTTCCAAATTTTGTTTCGGGGGAGGAGTGGCTGTTTCAATGATCCAGAACTCATAATGATTTGGCGAGGCCTGCACTTGCGGACTAACAGTCATAGAATCAAAGCGGAGTATACCTTTGAAGAGCGGTAGTTCCTCTTGTCTTAGTAATGTAGAAAGCCCTTGGCTCTAAGGAGCGCTGATAGAACAATGATTGTGTTTGTCGTGGTTTGCACAATCACCCGGATGAATGCTTGCTATGGGCTTTCAGCATGTTGACCGCTCGAGTTTCAATGCATCCCATGCACATCCACGCACAGAATATTTTTTAATGTCATCAAGCTGGTTGCCATGCCTTTCTGAATCTGATTCTGAAGCTGCCAGAGATTGATCCAATACTTTGTAATTTTGCTTCGTCGAAATGCGAACGCGCCGACTGACCTGGGTCTTGTTTGGTGTGCGGCAACTTTGATGTCCCGTTTCCATCGGGTGCACCTCAGTGCACCTGATATTGTCCCTAGATTTTCAGAGACCTATCATTTGAAAGAAGCAGCTGCTTGGCTGCTTCACCCATCAAAGTGTGGATAAAAGTGCGAGGTTCATGTTTAGGGCCCATTGCTGGAAATCATATGTATTGACATTCGTTACTGCATTGCAAATCCCATGATTGTCATTCCATTTGGAAGTTCACCATGGCTCATCGTGTTGCCAGGGATCTGAAGCCCACTCTGGCAGAGCCCGGGCTCTCAGCTGCAAGCGGTCCTGCAGTAGCTGCAGTAGCATGAGAATTCGTGAGCACATGTCTTGCAGCTTGTACAGGAATTTGACGCCTCATGCAGGCAAAGCTTCACACTATGATGGTTCTAAACCTTCAATTCCAATCCAGCTGCGATGGACTTGTGGGAAACAAAAGGCCGGATGCATCATGTTTGTGAATGTGGATCAAGGTTGGCTGTGGGTGAAGTCCTCCAAGCTCAGGCTGGAGATTGTTTGCAGTCCAATGTGAAGGGTTCCCTAGCTTCTGGCAAGTGAGCTGGGGGTGATGTGTTTAGCGGCTCCCATCTGAGTGAGTGTGAGATGTGTGGGAAAGAGAGAGAGAGAGAGAGGGAGAAAGTTAGAGCGAGGCTGGAGAGAGCGCCAGAGAGGGCCAGAGATGGGTGGAGACTTGTAGATAGTGGCTCGTGAAAATGAGAAATCCTTGTTCATCTTGCACCACTGTGGCATGTCCATGCGCAGTGTTTCGGTTCGAAGGTTTACATATGGGAATGAATGACCATTGGCAAGGTTGGTGAAAATGAGGCAGAGAATCTCCATGTCGGCTGTTTCGCAGGTTTGCCGATGCAGAGTTGGGGAGGCAATGCAAGTCCAAGCCATCACATTCCTCCGCAATTTATCCGAGGGATTAGTGTGACGACAGCTGTGCCTGGCACACGGAGCAACCACTGCATTAGGCTTGGCTTTAACATGACTCGGGGTAGTAGTGGTCGAGATTCATGTTGTCACATGTTGTCACAGACTTACTTGCTTCCCGCTTTGGTTAGGCCCTGCAAGTGAGGCGTTTGGGAGGAGGCTGTTTGATTCTAACAATATTGTCATTATTGGTTGATTTATTTTTTTTTCAAGTTTTGACTCTTTGACCATGATCTTGTTGTGCATGTTTGCTATATTCCTTTTCGTTCTTGGAGAGAGAGAGAGAGAGAGTGCGATTCCATCACTGTCAGGACCTTGGACCAGGTCGCCTTCCTTCCAGGCAATTATGGTGCTCAAGCTGCTCGTGCTGCTCGAGCTCCTGAGAGTGGGTGCGTATCAAATGTCGTACGAGGCGGGAAGATCTCAAAATGCAGATCAGGGTGGACCTTGAGGACATATTCGAACAACCTCCATAAACATTTCGTCTATATTATGTATATATATATATACACGTTTTGGTGGCGCCCTCCAACCTCTCCTATTGAAATCTATTGAATGTAAGCAGGGGCTTAGGACGTAGTTAATGCATAAAAGGATCCCTTAGGACACACGTTTGGACCCGTGAACGAACACGTGGACGTCATGTGAACCATGTCGACGCGTTCAAAAACGTGTTTTCAGGGTGTCGCAGGCTGTGAGCGTGAGCATCTCAGGCCGGGGTACTTTCTGAAGGCAACGTCAAAGACGATGAGTTTGGAAAGGTTGTCAGCATCTCTGGTGCCTCGCCACGCAAGCGGTGCATGTTGTGTGAACCATGCGATGCGCATCCGCAGTGGCACCAGACGGGTCGAAGGATTAAATGCAGAAACCTTGCTTGTCCCAGATATTAAGGCAACGTACTGATAGTTGGTGCGCCCGCTGAAGATATTAATGGCACAGATGCGGGTGGCGCATATGTCTACAAACTGTACCACTCTCCTGTTTTGGACTTGACCCACAAACTGTGCATCGTTACTAGTAACAAATGCTTTAATTACTGCTAGTAACAAGAAGCTACTAGTAGTAGCCATGCACTTGCTACTAGTAGAAACACATCCTTTCATAACTTGCTTGGCCAGGGTGGGAAACATTTGGACGCTGGACGCCCGAATCGTGTCAGAGGATATTGCCGCTGGAGACCGATTTGGGAACTCCTTGAAGGTGGAAGGCGCTGCTGTGAATCCAATTGTGATTTCTAATGGATTCATCAAATCACGAAATCTAGCTGTAGCTGGAGCCTGTTTTGCTTTGGAAAGGAGGAACCCCTGATATGTCAAGGATACCCCCCATCCGCGTGTTCAAGCTGCTGCTGCTGCTGCTGCTGCTGGGTTTGCACCAACCACGGTTTACACCAAACCACGGTTTACACCATCACCAAACCACGCTTTACACCAAACAACGGCTGACACCAAACCACGGTCTATACCAAGCACCGTTTACACCAAACCACGGCTTGCACCAACCACGGCTTACACCAAACCACGGTCTACAGCAACCACGGTTTACACCAAATCACCGTTTAACCCAACCACGGATTACACCACCCACCGTCTACACCAACCACGGTTCACACCAACCACGGTCTACACCAACCACGGTTTACACCAAACAACGGTTTACACCAACAGAAAACATGTTTTTGAGATCCCAGCTGTGATTGTTCACTGTTTGTTATACCTGTCGGTGTTGGTCGATCGTGCATCTGCTGCTGCTGCTGCTGCTGCGCCTGCTGCTGGCTGTTGTTGCTGCTGCTGCTGCTGTTGCTGGGGTGGTTGTGTGTTTCCTGTGTTATTGCGGGGGTACTGTTGGCACTCTCCTCCCCTGCCCTCCACCATGATATGTTGCGACTCCCGGCCTGGGCTCTGCTGCCAAAAAGGTCGCAGCGCTGCTTCTTCCCCTAGCTTTCGCCACTCGCCCTGGGCCACAAGTATAGGATAACCAGTTCGAGTGATGCCAAGAGAGAATTGGTGGAAATGACTCATAATAACTCACCGGCACTTGCTGGACTTGACTGGGCTTTGGGGAAGAGGGACGTCCAAAGGACAAGAGCCGCAGGGTGATCTTTCCGGCTTCACTGTGGTCGGTGTGACCAGGTGACTACATCATAGTGGGAGCGGATGGCCATGATTCCAATGGCCTGGCAGACACGGGGTGACATGTCGAGATTTGCTTTTCTTTTCTCATCGACGCGGCAAACTGGGTACACTCCACAGGATGTGTTGTTTTTAAGGCTTGGATTTGGCAGTCTGGGTCTCTCACATGCGGGCGATTGTTTGAGGTCAGCCTACATTTTTTCGAAGAATTCCGACTCATGGGTCCAGCAGGTGTGCGCTCACATTCGACACATGCCATGCACCTTGTGAGATGTTGTATCGCTTGACGAGATCATGGCCGTGCTGCCTCAGAGTTATGCCAGGCCAAACTCGTGGGCGATGACACCATGGCAGGGGACAAGTTTGGCATCTCTGTGAGCATGACGGAGAACTATGCAGTGGTGGCCAAGATGTTATTCGTACAAAAGGAGGTTTCATTGTGCATCCCACGGCCTTCATGTCCAATTTCTGTATATACTGTTATATACTGGGAAAAGCACTCTTATAAGAAGTTTTGCAGAGCGGTGAATGTGATGGGCGATGTCTGATTTAGGTGGGAGCTGACTGGCACACAGGTCCCGGTGGAGTTGGATGTGGTGCCTTGGGCATTATGAACATTTGTGGTTCTGAGCTTCGAGAAACTGCAACTAGTGACCCTCAAAGAAAAGCGATAGTCCTTTTTCACTTTTTCCATTTCTGTCCTGGTGTTTGTGCACTTCATTGACTCTGACCATATTGTCTTTCAACTCACATCTTGAAGCACAAAGCAGAAAGGAAAAACCCTGCAAGCACATTGGCAGTATTCTCCAAACCGGTGAGGGATTCCTATAGGTTTACAAACCATCCAGAATCCAGTGCAGACCAGAACCTCAAGAAGACGCTCGCCAAGGGGCCTCTTAAACTGAAAGCTGCGACAGTCCTGGGACCATTGCAAAGACTTGGGCAGGCGCCGCATATATTTTTGCCTTCAATGGGAGCAGCTGGAACCAGGAGGCAGCGCTTTGCGAGGGCCCGCAAGACAGGAAGAGAGGCGTTTGTTGTATGGAAGATTCGGACTGTTTTGTGTTTCAAAAATTGCTATGCCGCCAATCAGCGGTGGAAGGCTAGGCACTTTCAAGCAGGTGTTTTGTGTGTGACTAGAAGAAGGCAATCGCTTTTAAGCCAAACATACTGTAATTTAATTGATAAGAGATTTGTTGGCTGGTTTGAGCAAGCAATAGCGATGCCAGATTGCTATATAGACGAATCATGTGTGCCTTCATAGCTGATAAGAGGACAAATGCCTTTCCCATTACCTTTGGGCCTTTAGGACTTGGGACCACTAACTTGCCTCAAGGAAAACTGGCAGAACATTCGTTCACCTTTTGGCTGAAAGTTCAACTAAGCTACCACCCATCTCCGCAAATCTTCAGAACCCCATCAGCAATGACACCACCAAAAACGGCTTTGGGATGTGTTGTGTAGAGCAAGTGTTTTTGACATTGTTTCTTTTGCATACTTTTCGCCATCCCGCATGCCCCAAGAAAGGGGTTCTTGGACTGGGGCATTGATGCGGGGTAATCCGCTTTCCTCCAGGCCCAGTTGCTTCCCGACGACAGTGCGGCCTTCGACCGCTTCGGGGGAGCGGTGAGCATCTTTGAATCCACGGCCGCTCGGTTCTCGAGGTGGCCGTGGATTCAACGACAAAGGGGCATGATGTTTTTGTTCAGAAGAATCCCCCACAGGGGCATGGCTTGGTAAGTCCGAAGAGATCTCTTACATGATTAGTAGTTTTTCAAGTCTGATTTTGGGAGGGCATAGATAGACAGATCAAAATATAGACAGACTTAGACAAACACACTCTGACATTGGTTTTCAGTTAACTCAATTGCCACGTTGGGAAGGAAGGTGAAGAACGGTAAGGTGAAGAGTCCGCAAAACTTGTAGATGTTTGAACAAAATGGTTTGAAGTCTGCAGAAAGCACGAAAACGAAACGCTCACGAAAACGCGCGGCTCGGTTGCAAGAACGCGGTGGGAAGGTTTAAGGGGAGTATCATGAAGAACCATGAAAACAAACAAGGTCAATTGGACAGCTTGTTCAACCGTTAAAGCAGGTACACATCCATGGCCAGTGGATGCTTCCCTCTCTGATGCCTAGCTTCGTTGGACAGAGTAGCATCAGAGAGCTCTGTCCCCCTGCTTTAAATTATATAGACCCTTGGAAACAGGGTTTGACACACACAGGGTGCCGCTTCGCGGCGCGCATGTGAAAGACCTGAATGGTCACCTAAAAAGCCTTAGAAACGAAAGAAAGAAAGACAGAAAGAGCAGCGCTAAGAGGGCAAGAGAGAAAGATAGGTGTAGAAAAATGAAAAGGTGAATACTTAGCCCTTGACTGGGGTAGGGAAACGAACCTCAAGAACAACCTAAAAAGCCTGAAAGAAAGCCCAACAAACGACGAAAAACGCAAGAAGGAAAGCGGGGGGCAGGGAGGGGGTGTATGTCCATGTGTGTGTACGTGTGTGTGTGTGTGTTTGAATACCTAGCACTCTAGAATTACTGAATACTTAAACGAAGTGAATTAGGTGCACTAGTTAGGGAGCGGGACTTTAGTCTTAGACCGCCCGGGTAGGATAGACTAGAACAGGAACAACACAGGGAAAGGCACCGACACACAAGTGTGTCGAGTACCATTTCCCTATGTTGCCCTAAATAGGTAGGGAGTAGAACTCGGCTGGGGGGGGGGTTGGGAAACCTGCCTCATTGCGGGTGGATTACCGTTTTATAGCCCGGCGGCTCTGGATTCGGTGGTTGAGATTGTCCGTTTTTTGGCCCGGCGGCTCAAAAGTCCGTTAATTCAGTTATGAAAGTGAAGAAGCAAAGGGTCAGTTATAAATATGAAGGACCAGTGAATTCCGGAATGGTTTCGGCGCCTCCTTTCGGAGGGTCACACCCAGCACCCAAGTGGGAAGACTGAGCGGCTCACACTCTGACATTGGTTTTCAGTTAACTCAATTGCCACGTTGGGAAGGAAGGTGAAGAACGGTAAGGTGAAGAGTCCGCAAAACTTGTAGATGTTTGAACAAAATGGTTTGAAGTCTGCAGAAAGCACGAAAACGAAACGCTCACGAAAACGCGCGGCTCGGTTGCAAGAACGCGGTGGGAAGGTTTAAGGGGAGTATCATGAAGAACCATGAAAACAAACAAGGTCAATTGGACAGCTTGTTCAACCGTTAAAGCAGGTACACATCCATGGCCAGTGGATGCTTCCCTCTCTGATGCCTAGCTTCGTTGGACAGAGTAGCATCAGAGAGCTCTGTCCCCCTGCTTTAAATTAGACCCTTGGAAACAGGGTTTGACACACACACACACAGATGGATGGATGGATGGATGGATACTGTAGATATGTGTTTTTTATAGAGAGGAGGATGAGAGTGTTTTTTCTCAGAATATCGCCCAGTCAGTAGTAATGAGGTTTTGTTGTATGACTTGGTGGCTTACTCAGGTCATTGTTGGAGCAGTGGAGTCCGAAGAGAATGGAGCAGCATATGTTTTCGAGAGGACCATTTGCACCTGCAGAGGATTAGTTTTTGAAGGTCTTTCTTTTTGGAGGGAACGGGCGGGCTTTGCGTTGCATATGAGTCCGGGGAGTTTGGCATGGTGTGGCAGGAATGGTGACCAGACTTGGAGCCAGCTAGTGAAGTATGTGGCTGATAGCAACACAACCGACACCGATCGGCCGCTTGTTTTGCATCGACTTGCTTCAAGAGGTATCAACGCTTTTTCATCCTTTCTCTTTCTGACAGCCTCTGGGACTTGCATCTCCCAAGGTTTGCCAGTGCTGTAGCCCTGTGGGATGCTCAGGCAAAAAAGACGAGGCTCAGCCCAGTGCTCAGCCCTGTGCTGTCAGGTCTGGGGATACTGCGGTAGTTGGAGCTTTCTGGGACGACGGTGAGAAGGTCAATGCGGCTTGCCCGCAATATCCTGCCTGCCCTGCCTGCCACTGACCGCCCCAAACTCCAACTCAGGGTGGTGCCGTGTATATTTACACATGGAGCCTGGCATGCAATGGTGGTTGGTGTGGGTTGGTTGCGGGCCCTCCTGCCTGCGTGGCCTGAAAGCATGCAAATCACAAGGATCAACCACCACTGATTCTTCCACTGCTTGCCCTTCCCAAGGAACTCCTCTGGTTGGGGAACCGGCACCAAGATCTATGCGCCCGATGGCGCAAACGAGGACCCTTCACAGTTCCGCAATTGCGAGCAGTAAAAGCGCTGAGTTGGCTGTTCTATGCGCTGAAGTCCTGCAGGAAGACCGTTTTGGCATCTCCGTAGATGTGTCAGGCTGGGACCGGAGGGATGGGAACGGTTGAGGGCTGTGGAAGCTACAGCGGCACCGATGCGCCTACTTCATGAGGCAACACCATGATTGTTGGCGCCTACTTCACCAGTGAGTCAGGCGTATGGAGTGGTGACTTGGCGACACAAAAAGTCCAAGATACTTGTGTGGATTGTTGAAGAGTGAGGCTCTGCATATATCTTTGCTCAGCTGGCTATCGGGCAGTGGTCCTTCCAGGACTGATTGGCTGGTCATCAGTTGAAGCAGAAAGAGACGAGACGTTTGAGAGTGAATTATGCAAGTTTTGTGATTGTTTCAACTGAGGAGAAGGTAACATGGTCTGGAGCTGCGGCATCTCACTACTTTGGTCGAGGGGTCAGCATATGGGACAGCCCCGCGGTGGCATTACAGTGCAGTAGGTAGGTGGGGTGGGTTGGCTTTGAGTTTCGTCGCGGAGGCAATGTCGGGCCTTTCACCGCAGTGGTGGGTGCCCCTGGGGCCAACAGCAGCATCGTCCTGGAAGGAGGACAGTAGTGTGACGGTGGCATTGCGAATTCTGGGTTTGTCGACTTGAAAGAAGTCCTTGAGCAAGCACCAGATTTGTGCACCAGGTTTTGAGCAGAAACCAGTCGTAAGAAGAGATGCCTCCACCAGTGGCCTGAGGACTACCGACAACAAGCACCACAACTACTAGCACAAGTTCAACTTCATCATCTACCAGCAAAACGGCTAGCACTTCAACAACCACCAGTTCGACTAAAACCAGCTCGAGCTCAGTTTCTTCGAGTCTTGGTCGACAGATGGAGAACAAGTTTTTGTTTTTGTGGATGGTCAGGGGAATGGATGGTCCATTTTGAGCAAGAACCTAAGCTTAGGAGCACTTCAATAACCACTTCGACCTCAATGACTTCCACAACTTCCATGACCTCTAGCAGTGCCTCAATCGCAGCTTGCGACAGCTGTGCAGTCCAGAGAGCTTCGAAGGAATCTGAAGACTTGTGGACGACACATTTTCATTTGTCAGACGCTTGTGGAAGATTGCTAGCCAATCGCCGGTGCCCAGGTCTTACCAGCAGTTCCACCTCAGTCTCCCAGACAACCAGCCCTTCGGAGAATCTGTCATTCGATTCTCTCGGTGGGGACTCTTCTTGTAGAGTTCACACTCAGGGCTTTAGCAGGTTTTGGCAGGATTCGCAGATTGGCAGTTGTTTAAAAGTTGCACAGGAGGAAGATCCACACTTCACATCGCTTCACATAAACGAATTCCTTAATGTTTTTGATTTCTGAGGTACTTCTTCTTCAGTCACTCTAACAACAAGCACTTCATCCTCACACACAAGGACCTCTTCAACCATGACATTAACAACGAAGACCACACTCACGACGACTAGCACGTCCCAGACCACTACTTCCTTTACAACAACTTCATCAACTAGAACATCAGCGACGACGACTGAATCGACAATGACAACGACCGCGTCTACGTCAAGTGCATCGACAACCACTTCGCAGACACAGACCCTCGACGAGAAGCCCAGCACTACCACTTTTTGCATCTTGTTGATCTGACAACTTTCCAGAAGAGTCTTCTTTATTTTTTGCCCGCTCCTACTAGATTAATTGAGCAAGGGAGTTAGCTCCTAGCTACTTACCTGAGCCTCCTTGAAGAAGCGCATTTGGTTCCTAGATTTTCGAGAAACTAAAGAGTGGCCGGTAAATGCCGGTAAAGAGCCTTGTTTTGGATGAAACACTGAAGCTTTATGAAACTTCTCTGAGGACAAGCACGTCGGTCTCCGTGACAAAGACAAGCTTGAGGGTCACAAGTAGCTCAACAGCTCCGCCAAGCTTGAGCATGAAGGAAGATTTTGGCACAGGGATCGACTACTCCTCCGGATCATGGACCTGGGAGGAGCGACATGATTCTGAAGCCTATGTCCTTGGATGCTCAGTGATGATGTTGCTTAAACATTCTTAAACATAAGAGTTTCAACATGGATTCTGCAGGAGTATGATAGTGCCGCTTTCCACCTGCGTGTGCCTCTGGTGCTTCTACTGTGGATGGTCCACTGAAGGGTACCGGACTCCACCGGGCGTCTTACGGGGGACAGTGGTGCTCTTTCAGCACCGCATGAACAACCAAAACATTATTTATTTGGCACATTGTGTGTAGGTCGTGCCTTTGCCTTTGTCATGTTCCAGAAGTATACTTCGCAAACACATGCGATTCTCTTGTCCTCCGCCCAATGAGTTTTTTTAGTCTCACACCTCCCTGGGTTTCGAAAAGGGGCTGCAGTGAGGTTGCATAGCCGGCTACACCTGATAGCACAACTTGCCTCGCACATCGCGTGCGTCGTCACCACAGGTGTGACGAGGCGTCCGAGGCTACCTTGGGCCACCCGCACGCCGTTGCGAGCCGCGCCTCCTCGGGGAGGTTGCGAAATGAATCGCCCAGTAGATCCACTGGGATCACAAGAATGAGACTCTGTCAGACTATGTGGAACGCCTGGATTGAAGAGGGTCAGTGACGCCTGTGGAACGCATCCAAGACCGAATCAGGGAGCTTTAGCAACAGATCGCTTTCGCTGAAAACCTCCCCATAGATGAGCTGGTTCCATCAAATCCTCAAGCTGTTCAAACAACTTTTCATTCCACGAGGTGAGCAAAAACATCCCAGAAAGTGAAGAAGGACTGAACCGCTTACTGACCTGTTTGGACAATATTGGACCCCTTTTTGGGCAGAAAGGTATGCACTAGAGGTCTTAGTTTTTCAGTGTTGCAGATTTAGAACTCTTGAGGTGGTTCACACAAACAAATACACGAAGTCCAGGAGTTACGATTGTTATGATGTAAATATGATGTAATTTTGTGTGTTTGCTACTGTAGTCGGCTCACTGCCTCCTTCTATCTTCTCCCGTGCGGGGCGGGGGGAGGGGCCGAAAAAAGCGCAACACATTTGTTTTTTGTGCTTTTGTTTTTTGTGTTTGAATTTTCGCGCCTCCAGACCAACCCCAACCCGCCTTACCATCCCCACAAGTAGAGGTTCTCGACGTCAAGTTGTGAAAACTTTCTCCCGGCACCCCACGAGAACACGCGCCCCCCAGGCAAAGACAATGAGACATACTTTCTTCAACATATGGTTTTGCTCATGGAGACTCAAACTTGACTCAAGTTCAAACCCTGACATTTCTAGAATCGCCTCTAAATGCCTCAAAACACTTTGAAGATGATGCAACTGGTGCCGAATATGTCTGTTACATTGGTGACATTCCACTGTCTTCGTTGTGGGCCATCCTTGTCAACATAACGGGAAAGAATCCGAACGAACATTGAACGTTGCACTCAGTTGGCACACGGAAGAGCACCGAACCATGTACTTTTTGGCTGTTGTGGCAAAGTTGTTCTGCTACTGCAGTTGCTCTAAGTTCCGCAACATGACACAAAACAAAGCAAAAGAAGCCAAACGACGTGGGACCGCTACAGGAACCACAGCTCAGGCGGGGTGGCCTGATTTTTCGCCTAGATTAGAAACTCAAGTTGGCCCATATGCTACTAGGAACAAGTGCCTTACTAGAATTAACAAGGACGCTACTAGGAACAAGTGCCTTACTAGTAGGAACAAGTTGTTGTCATTGTTATATGCGGATGTGGTCAAGATGCTGAAACATCGAGAATCAACTAAAACAATGGACATAGCCCCTGGTTCCATTTTAAGCTCCCAGACTAGGGCATACACAATATGATTCTCCAAAAACACGCTTCTGAATGTGGTAGAAAACCACATGCTTTTCATGTATGCACTTTGAAAACAAGACACAAAAACCATGAGAAAACCAATCTGCAGGACCGTTCCTGGACCCGTCACCTTGTTTTATACAGCTGTTTTCAATGTGTGAAGATGCTGTTAGTGGATTTGCCAAATGCAATGGACTCTGGATATTTGCGGGGTACCATTGTCCGATATTTTCCTAGGCGTTCCACGCCGGTATTGGCATTTTTCATGGAGTGAGAGGCTCCGCAAGAATTTTGATGTACAGGGAACCCAATTCAGGTTCACTGCTCCGCGCGAGTGCCCTTCCCTCAAGGAGATGAGGCAGCAAACATTTATCCAAAAAGTTCGAGATGAGCGGAACACAGGCATCATCAAATTTTGGCTGATAAGCAAACTGCAACCACTGTGCCTTTCAAGCAGACAAACAAGGCCTAAACTGAAACCGGATGATTATGTGATGGTGAATCCTGCAAACAGCCAAAGCCGTAGCACTTGAAGACACAACTCCATTGACTTTGAAGGAACCTTATACAACCTTCACGTCACTCGAAATGCAAAAGAAGCAGCAAAGATGCTAAAGGACTTCATTTGGAAGAGTTGCGTAGCCGTTTCATACTCTTCCCCGTCTTACCAGTCACTTCACTGACATGTTCCAGGCGATTTGGAGGCGGCAGTTGCCCTTCGGATCTCTTGAGGTGCCATTTCTGCCAGAGTTGCTATGTGAAGGCCATCTATTGGAAGTTTACACTGGACACTAAAACTGCGTGACCGTATATACAGTATACATAAGTATTTTTAAAACATATATAAGTATAAGCATGTGTAAGGTATATATAACATTAAACAAATAAACTATATATGTTTTTGGGTGTTCACTGGCTTGCCTTCACACATCCGCCGCTCAGATGAATTCTTCTGCTTGCCACCGAGGAGGCCCACTGTTTTTTGTCAATTCCAAATCCGTAGCTGCGCCTCAACTTGGGCACATTTAGCTAGCAGCTAGTGCATGCTTTGTCTTACCTTTCTTCTCAAGTTGGAGCCTGAACAAAGTTACCTTGTATTGCGAGATGGGACAAGTTGTCGTTTGTATATCTAACGGCTTAGTCCCAGTGCAGGCCAACCACTGGAGGGCCTTGAGCCCCGCTGCCGATTGCTAAAGGAGATGTTGCCCGTGTGGGGCTGACAGCCATCAAACCCACTGGACTGTTGACGCAAGAAGTTTCATGAAATGGAATTGAAAAGCGAAGCGGCAGCTTCAAGCTTCTGATCGTTTGACCGTTTGACCTTTGGATCTCTGCGGACGGAGAAAGAGCGCATTGGAAAACCCGAGTCGAGTGGTCTGACTGAAGTAAGTGGTGAATTTTGGCCCGGGTGGGAGCATGATCTTTCTTCAACCAGAATCGCCCAATCCCAATGTACAATTGAGTGCATTTGTAAGAGATATGTTCTGCATTGGAGTGGAGGAAAGGCTTGTAGGCCAATCCCACTGTCAGGGTCATTGAAGCTTAAGGTGAATGCTCAGCAGCGGGAGCATGATTCAGATTGGTTGAACGCATTGGCATTCCTAAGTTGGAATCAGCTTGGAATTTTGGTTTCCAATCAGATTGCCTTCTTCATACCTTGCATTGGACGGGTTTCGATTGTCTGAACGTCAGAGCAAGGCCTGAGAACCAAAGTGCCTTCGACTTGCCCGGCACCTATTTGTCTCGATGAGCTGTGAAACGATCCAAGAACATCTTCAGAATTGGTGGACGAAACACTAAGTGCATTACGTTCCTTTCATTCCATGCCCTTTTGGCATGGCATCCTTGGATTTGATTCAATGTGATGACAGCGATGAGAATGGGGTTGCCTGCGTCAAGACTGCGGGTGGGCATTTCTACCAACCTCCCCAGGCATTTTCAACGCTTGGATGCCATCGTTGCAAAATTGAAGGTGCGACATGCTCCTGACCGTGCTCTTCATATGACTTTCATGTCCTTTGGCCGGGTTCCGGTCAGGGTTCAGGTTAGCAAGCGTTGTAAGCCCCAAGAACTTGCCCCTAGATGAATGATGCATTTGGACGAAGATGTGCAGCCTGAAACCATGGGGCCCAAAATCTCAATCAACCCCAAAGACATCCAAGCAGTATCTAATCGTTATGAACTCATGAAGAAGGAATATCCTGAATATCCAAGTGCTGCCAGCGCGGTCGACGAGATCTGCAGGCCATTCCAGAGGTCGCTGTCCACTCGACAGGGCACGTGGGATCGCCTGAGGCCGCTGGGATCGCCAGTGACCTCGTCGTTGGCACATCACCCTCACAATTCGTAAACGGATGTAAGCGGTACACTATGAGATGATTATGCGATGCTTGTCAGGGGTATATAAGGGTAACCGGGTAACCATGATGGATCCCGAAAGCCAAAGGACTTGAAAGACATTCTTTGATCATTCGCACCAAACAGAAGAAGCACGCAGGGAGAAACCATTGGCAGCATCTTGTGGCGGCTTAGCGGCCTTCAGGCCGCTGTGTGGGAGCAGACATGCTCATTATAGTGGCAATGAGCTCAACGGCACAAGAACTCCATAACGGTGATTTTACCTTGTCCCACCCCAAGGACGCACACACACACACACAAGCACAAACACACATACACTGTGCACTATTATATATATATATATTGTAATGTAATGTTGCAATAGAGTAATTCTTAAACTACATTTTACATCATTTTACTACATATTTTGTTTGATATATATATATATTTTTTTTTTGGGGGGGGAGACTGTAGTGTATTGATATTAGACCATGCTATATTATATTATATCAGCATGCTTCACGCTGTTACATTATAAGATGTTGCATTATAGGCACTTGTTCCGATGATTCCAATGCCACAACTTTCCAGGCTCAGCTCAATGCTGAACCGCACCCCGAAGAAGCCGTTCACGAGGTGGCCATGCCTTGCAACTTTTGCCGATCTAAGGAACATTGCATCCAACTCCTAAAGGTCTAAGGTTGTCCGTGCACCATGCTGCCTTTTGATGTTTTGTCAGGCCGTGGCACCAACTCCTGCACCGACGCCTGGGCCTCACTGCCACGTGACAGGTGAGGCGCTTCCACACTTCGCCGCACCCAAGCAGGCGGGGATCTAGGCCTGTCCAAACAAAAGGTTTAACTCGATTGCACTTACAGTACGGTTGTGCGGGTCCTCTCTCTTTCACAGAGGATTGCCTCCTCTAGCTCTTTTCTGGAGAGAACTATGTACAGCTTCCGTTCATAGCATGATTGCAAGGAGCGTGTGCAATCTGAAGCTGGTCGGCGAAGTCCAGAGCGGGCACGGGAGAGAAGCCCTGTGCATCTAGGTCAAAGTGCTTCGCAGCCTAAGCTAAATGCGGAAGATGCCGATGCACCAGCAAAACCGAATCCGCCGAAAGAAG